AGGGCCCCCCCCCCCCCCCCCCCCCCCCCAAACCTGGTGGTCTCGGAGATGTTCCCAAGGTGGGCGAATTGCCGGGAGTAGGTGAGACACATCTGGAGGGAGGGGGGAAAGGGGGGGAAATAGCAGGGAAAACAAGAAAAAAGGGGCCCCCCTGCCATTTCTGAGCTCCCAACCCCCCAGTTTGTTGGTGTCCCCCTGTTTTTGGGGGGCGCTCCCCAGTTTTGGATACTTTTAGGATTATTAGGATTTCCCCCCCCCAGGCCCCAGTTTTGCACACCCCCCATTTAGGGGTTTCATCTCCTTGATTTTGCCCCCCCCCACATACACACACGTTTTTGACCCCTTCCAGGTTTCTGGGGTTTCCCCCTTTAGTTTTTGGGGCTCCCTACCGAATTTTTTGCCTCCCTCCCATTTTTGGGGCCCCCTCACCTGGTGCTGCTTCCTCAGAGCCCCCGCCAGCTGCAGGAAGGTCTTGGTGGTTTCGGGGGGCACTGGGACCCCCCCAGGGCCCAGCTCGAACTCAGTCCCGTCCAGGGGGGGCTCTGGGACCTGTGTGGGGGGGAAAGGAATCCCATGGGATGAAATTCCCTGGGAGAGGGGGGACAGGGGGGCAATGGGGACACGGGGGATCAAGGATGGGATGGCCTCTGGGACCTGATGGGATTTGGGATCCAGCACAGCAAGAAGAGGCCTCTCTGGAGCCTCCCCCCGACCCTCCCTCCACCCCCCCAGACCCTCGGGGGTGTCCACAGGGAGCCCCCACCCCAATCAGGGGGTACCCCCAGCCCCTGCAGGGACCCCCAGGATCCCCCCCAACCTGCGCCAGGTTGATGGGGACCCTCCCAGCCCCCCCAGGGACCCCCAGGAGCCCCCCCAACCTGCGCCAGGTCGACGGGGAGGCCCCCCCGGGCGGCCCCCAGCAGCCCCTCGACGCCCTTGGCGCGGCGCAGCAGCTCCTTGGCCGCCCCCAGGTCGTTCCTGCGCTTGGCCCTGAGCGCGGCCCGCGAGAACTGGGCCCTGCGGAGCTCCAGGAATTCCAGCTGGGCCTGGGCTGGGACACGGAACGTCCAGGAGAGAGAGGGGGGGTCACAGCCCTGGGGGATCCCGGTGCCCCCCCTCCCAAATCTCCCCCCGGGACCCCCCCGTACCTTTCCCGGTGGGTTTGGGAGCCGGTTGGGAATTCGGGGTCCCCCCGCTGGGGGCGTTCCGGGGGGGCTGTTTGGGGGGTCCCGGGGGGGCCGGGCGGGGGTCGGGCTGTGCCGGGAGACACGGTATGGGGTCAGTGGGAACCCCCCAGGAATCACCAGGAATCCCTGGGAATCCCCCACCTCCCAGGCCCCCACTCGGGGTCCTGCCTCCCCCCTGCCTCCAAAGCTTCCAGACCCCCACACCTGACCTTGGGCCCCTCGGGGATCCCCCTTTCCTCCTCCTCCTCCTCCTCCTCCTGGGGGGTCCCCGCCAGCCTCGTGGCCGCCTCCAGCATCCCGGCCACGCTCGGCTCCGCCGGCACCTCCGAGCCCTGGATGGGCGGGAAGCCTGGAAAAGGGGGAGAATCCTGATGGGAATGGGTTGTTCCTGGCTGGGGGCATCACCCCCCTAGGTTGTGGGGAGGGATTTGGGGGCGTGGAGGGACCGGGAACGTACCTGGCGGCACCGGGAGCTCTGAAAGATCCACGGCTTTGCCGGCACTGAGAGCACGGAGGGCAGTCTGGTATTGCTGGGGGGGGAAACAGGGGGGTCAGGGGGATGCTGGGAGCACTGGGAGGGCCCACAGGGGGACTGGGATCATCACAGGGGGACTGGCATCCCCATTCTGGGATCGGGATCCCTATTTTGGGATCGGGATCCCCATTTTGGGATCGGGATCCCCATTCTGGGACTGGGATCCCCATTCTGGGATCAGGATCCCTGTTCTGGGATTGGGGTCCCCATTCCGGGTTTGGGATCCCCATTTTGGGATTGGGATCCTCATTTTGGGATTGGGATCCTCATTTTGGGATTGGGATCCCCATTTTGGGATTGGGACCCCCATCCTGAGCCCCGGATCCCCCCCAGCTCCGGGCACCTTCACAATCCTCTCGTGCATCCGGACTTTCCTGCCGTCCCCGCTCTCCTTGGCCTGGGCAGCGGCCGCCCGGTACCGCTCCATGCGCTGCTCCAGAGCCTCCCTCACGTCCCGCGGGGCTGGGGGGGCTCCTGGGGGAAGGGAAACCCCCCAAAACCCCTCAGAAACCCCTCGGAAACCCCCCCATGCCCCTGTCCCAACCCGCCCCCCCGGGAGCCCCCGGGGCCCACCTGGGGCAGGGGGTGCCGGTGGATCCCTCGGCTCCGGTGGATCCCTCGGCTCCGGTGGATCCCTCAGCGCTGGATCCTTCGGTTCCTCTGGCTCTGGACCTGCGGGGAGGGAGTGCCTGGATGCCCCGGGATCAGCAGGACCCAGGGGTGGAGGGGGGGATTATCCCCTCCCCAAAATAAGGGGGCTTGGGCCCAGCAATCCCACCTCTCCCCCCACCACGGGGTCTCACCCGGGGCACGGTCCTGCCCCTGCGCCTCCAGCTGCGCCTCCAGGCTCTGGAAAACCACGGGAAAACGGGAATTGCAGGGTGGCCAGGCCCGGGGACGGGGGGTTTGGG